CCTCCCCGGGGCCCAGGCCTGGGAGTGCCACTCCCTGGGGCCCATACAGGGAGGAGGTGACCATGGCACTGTCTAGGGAAGGAGCCCCAGCTGGGAGTTGAAGGCCAGGATGTCTGTTCTGGTTTAGTCCTGAGTTGCTGTGTGACGTGGGCACGTCATACTCTCTCTGGGCTTCAGTTTCCTTACCTGTAGATTGATGTTGGGAGGACCAGCGGTGGAGCAGAGATTGGGAAGATGTGTTGGTTGGGCAGTCAGCAGAGCATGGGGGTGGGACAGGGAGAGAGTGGAGACCAGAGACACTGGACCAAAGCAGAGGGTGCAGAGCAGAGAAGGATCGATGGCTGGCTTGCTGGAGTCCCCTCCTGAGGGGCTGGGGCTAGAGGGTTTCTGCAGTCAGGGCTGGGGATGTGAATTGTGCTGCAGCTAGAGGGACTTGAGCCAGAGAACAAGAGGGACACACAGGATGGGGAAACTCAAGGGTTACCTTAGTGCTGTCATTTGCAAGGAAAATGGGAATATAAGGAGGAATTTTGAGGGAAGAGAGAGGATAGACTTTATTCTGAGGTATGGATTAAATGAATTTTTAGGACCTCATCCTGTGTGTGTGTGTGTGCAAGGAAGAGGCTCTAGAAAGTCACAGTTTAAGTCAGCAGCAAGAGGGCTTGCTGTTAGACTAAAGGCAATAATACCTGCATTTGTGAGGGTGGGGCCACTGAGGGGAGGCTGCGGGCATCTCCACTGTCCAAAGCTGGGTTGCAAACTTGGGAAGGTCAGGAGGACCCCTGAAGGGCCTGGTACAGGAGTCAGGGGTCCTGAGGCCAGCGTGGGTGGAGGGGTGGGGCTCCAGGGCCTCTCCCCATTGGCTGAAGTACATCTGGCCCTCCTCCCTCCCTGACAGCTTGGCTGGGTGGAGGGATTGGAGGTGGCAGGAGCTGTCCCCGTCTGATGAGAGTGTGGGGCCAAGTTCTGTGTCCCTCAGCCCCAGTGACCTCTCTCTGGCTCCACAGCATCAAAAAACTTCAAAGACAGAATATGACTGAAGCAGACAGAAAGAGGCGGTAAGCACCTCAGCCACCACCTACCCCAGCGTCCCGCCCCTGCCCAGCACACCCCAGTGCCTCCCTGCCCCCCTCTCAGCCTCTCCCTCATGGCAGCTGATTCCTCCAGACCCCCCTCCTTTCCAGCCACCCCCCAGCCCAGGAGGCAGAAGAAGGGCCTCTCCCACCTGCGCCCCGAGCCAAGCACAGGCTGGGCCCTGGGGGGACGGAAGGCTCAGAAAGACCTGGATGAGGATTCCAGGGCTTGGTCAGTGGGTTGCAACTGCTCCCATGTAGGTGGTGCTCAATGGAAATGAACCCCCACCTCTCACCCTCTCTGGAGCTGGTCTCTTTGGGGTGAAATGGAAGCCAAAGTCCTTGCAATGGCCAAGGCCCCGTTTCCTCTCTGACCTCCCCCACCCCACCCCCGCTCTCCCACTCCCGTCACACTGACCTCCCTTCCTTTCCTTCAGACACACTCAGTCCTTCAGTGACTGTTCCCTCTGCCAGAAATGCTCTTGCTGCAGTTATCCACGTGGCTGACTCCCTCACCCCCTTCTCCTCTGACTGCCCCATTTAAAATCATACCCCACCCCTTTTTCTTGCTCCATCTTTTCTCACAGGACACACTACCTTCTAACACGCAAATGCACCTGCTGATTACATTCCGTCGCTGCCATCGGCTCCACACGCGCGGGGTATTTGTCTGTCTGTGCACTCTTCCCTCTGTGCTGATGACATCGCTGTCTCCAGCCCAGCACTCTCTCCTGGGTTTTCGACCCCGTTCCCAGAGACCCACTGGTGTCCCACAGGCAACTCAGTCCCAGCTGGAAGCAGCCTCCTCCTCTCCCCCTGGTCCACTCCTCCTCCTGTGGGCTCAGTTCAGTCAGGGACCCCCTTCTCTGTTGTTCAAGCCAGAAGTCAAGACCTTGTTCTTGGCACTTCTGTCTCCCCCGTGCCTCACATCTAGTCACCAATCTCCTAAAATACCTAGGATGTGCTCATCCCACCATTCTTTCTACCACCAACCGACTCCCCCACGGCCACTTAGGCCACCACCTGCCCATTCTTCAGAAGTCTCTTCAGGCCTCGCCTCCCACCCTGGGGCTTCCCGCCTCTGATGGTGTTGTCATTATCCATCTCCCCACTAGATGGAGCGAGCCAGGGGTGGGGGCTGGGTTTTCATGTTGTGTCCCCGGTTCCTGGCTCATAAGTAGATGCTCAACAAATGTTTGTTGAATGGATAAATATTGGTTAGCAGGTTAAATGGTTGGCTTGAGGTTACTTGGGTAGTTTATAGTTGGTTGGTTGATTAGATAATTAAACGAGCTGGTTAATAGAGTCAGTTAGTTGGTTTAGTTGCTGATTTGATTAGTTAGCGGAAGGGTTGGTTGGAGAGTTGTTGGCTGTTTAGTTCCTTGGTTAGCAGATATCACTTCGGTAATTAGCTGGTTGGCTGTTAGTGTCTTGGTTTGTAGGCCAGTTTTCTTAGATGTCTCTTTCTCATTCTACACCCTCTCCTTGAGCTCTCTCATCTGTGCCCATGGCTCAAGTGATCACCTATGAGTCGGTGACCTCCAAATGTGATTTCTAAACGAGACCCCACGACCAGCTGCCTCCTTACTTGTCATCTCCACCTGGGTTTCTAGTGGGTTCCTCAAACTCAACACAGCCAGAAGGGGACACCTCTTCCTCCTGTCTCCGCCTGCAGCTTCTCTCCCGGGCCTCACGTGTCATTCTGCTGCTCTAGCCAGAACTTGGGGTCACCATTGACCCTCTCTCTCCACTCTCCTCTATACTCAAACACCACGTCTGTCAGTTTGACTGTCTTCTAGCCATCGCCACGGCACCTTCTTGGCTCAGGCTGCCATCCCCTCTCAGCCTGCCTATGGCGGAAGCGTCTGGATTGCTCACCTACTTCCATTCTGTTCCCTCATCCCAGGCTCCGTGGAGGAGGCAGTGCTCCTGCTTCAGGCCTCCACGTGGCCCCATGGTCCTCTGGGCTGAGTTGAGACTCCCTGACGTGGGCCATGCGGCCTCCCGCCATCTGGCCCTGTGCCCCTTTCTGCCCACCTCGTGTCACTCCCACTCCTCCCTCTGGCCAGCCCGCCCTTGCAGAATTCCTCTACACAGCATACACTGTCTTAGCTGTAAGCCTTTGTCCCGCCTCCCGATGCTCCTTCATCCGGCTAGCCTTTTATTCTCCACCTAAATTTCCCTTCCTTTGGGAGAGCCTCCTACTCCTTCCTCTAGGTCATTTGCTTCCTCCCTGTAACCCCCTAGTGCCCACTCTTCACCTGTGGAACACTCCTCGCACTTTAGAGTACTTGCTTAATTGATTATTTTTCTTCCTAAGAGCAGGGATCATGCCAATGTTCTCTACCGCCATGCCTGAACGTGGTAGGCATGGCGGGTGTTCAAGTCTTCAGTTCAGTGGCTGGTTGGTGGTTCTTTGTTGCTCACTGTGTCCTGCCTCCTGTGTGGTGAGGAGGAAGGGGCCAGGGTTCCAGACTCTCTTGGTGTCCTTGTCTTCCTGCTCTGTCCACCTCTCCTCTGCCTCTGTGGCACCTTACCTGGGCTATTCTTGGATCCCTGCCTGCTGCTCATAGGCTCTTCTTCAGGGCTGAGGAGGCCAGTCATAGGGACAAGGGGACCCCTATATGATGCCACCCGGGAGCTGGAGTTGGATAGCAGCCAGTGGATCATCCAGGCTACTCTAGACTCCTCTCCATGTACTCAGCCCTGGTTTGTTTCCTGGGGTATGGACAGAGCAAGGACTGGGGTAGATGAGATATGAACATGGGGTCTCATCCAGAAAGGTGAGAGGTGTTTTATCCATGCCTGGTTTCCATTCCTCACCCCCTGTGTTTACTCTTGGCTGGGAGGCCAGGGAGATTTAGAAAGCCTGGGGGTGGGGTTGATGTTGCTATCCCTGGCAGGTGAGGTGGTTGAGGGGCTGGTGTCAGCTTCTGGCATTGGGCAGGGGAGGAGGGGGAGGGTCAACAACCTGTGGCACTAAGGCCACACTTAGAAGTTCTGTACCCTTCCTCCTCCTCTCTGGCTTCTGGACCCCATCTTCTTCCCAGACTCAAGCCCTATACCCCCCAATAGACAATGGAGCCTGTAACTCAGTTTTCCATCTGTCCATCCATCCAATGATGCATTGTTAAATACACATTTATCAAGCATCTAGCACGTGCCACGCACTGTAGGAAGTTCTGGGGATCTCGTGGAGAGGGAGACAGATGGGTTCCCCAGTCTTCATCCATTTGATGATATATATTGCACACCTACTGTGTGCCTGGCACTGTGCCAGGTGCTGAGAATAAACCAGGGAGTAAGATCCAGTCCCTTCTTCCTCCCTCCTTCCCTCTCTCCCATTTGTTCATTCACTCACACACTCACACACATCTGCCTGTGTTGACCTGGTTGCAGAGCCTGGTGGACTCTGCTGACTCTTCAGCTTTGGCAGAAGCTGGTGCTTGTTTCAGGCCTCAGTGCTGTTTATAGAGCCGGGAGCAGACTTTGCCACACCCTGTGCTGTCTGCAGAGTTCCTCGCTGTGGCTGGGTCCTGCCCGATGCCTTGTCTGTGTCCCCAGAGCTGTGGCCCTGCAGACAGACAGGCAGGCAGACAACTGAGCTCCACTTTCCTGCCTGCCCTCTCCCACCACTTCTCCTCTGAGGCTCATTAGCACCATGGATGGCACTCATTGGCTCCCCAACTGCCCCCACTGCAATGTGGCCTTGTTGATGCACCTTTCCCACTGGTCCAGTCCCCACCAGAAGGAAGAAGGGGCATGGCCTGGCCATCTACCCCTAGTCCCTCTCCGTGTCCCTGTGGCTCTCAGGTGTCTCTGATCCCAGCTGTCCCTGGGCAAGAGGAGGTATGCGTGGAGAAGCCACTGGGTTACCCATTAACTCAGCCATGAGTTGAAGGGCCGATAGGCAGCAAGCGCACTTGACTGTCATTTCTGCCCATGGGCTCGGGCTGCTGCTTCAGGTCCACCCGCGGCTCCAAAATGGTCTCGTCACCCGTGATGACAAGGATGCAAACCTTCCTGCAGAAGGAGATGGTGCGCGAGTTCCTGGCCGAGCTCCTGAGCACGTATGTCATGATGGTGAGTGGGTGGGTGGCACAAGGTGGGTGGGCTCTGAGGAAGGGGCCTGAACCCCAGGACCTCAGGAAGCTGGGGCTCAGTAAGGGCCATCCACAGCCCCCTCCCCACTGCTGACCCCCTGGGTCACATTATCCATTCTCTGGCCTCTGAGCCGGGAGACTGAGGGAGAAGCATGGGAAAGTAAGGAGAGAGCTCTGTCTTTCTCACAAGTCTTTTTGGGAAAGAAAGGGCTCATAATATGTGGGGGCAGAACAAAACCATGGTCTAGGGGGTGTCAGGGGGCATGGCTGGACGCGAGGAGAAGGAAAACCGAGAGTAAAGAGATTGGAGAGAACGTTGAGTGTCGGGCTTTGAGAATTAATCCTGAGGGCAATGTGGAGACAGCGAAGGTTTTCATGTAAGGGAAAGATGTGGTCAGATTTGGATTTGAGAAGGAAATTCTGGGTGCAGTGTGGAGCCTAAACAGAATGGGCAAGGCTGGAGGGAGTGGAACCAGTTAAGAGGCTGCTGCTATGACCTAGGATAGAGAGAGGGTGGCTACTGGTCCAGGGATAGAGAAGAAATCTCCTGTTTGAGGGAGTTGTAGAAGATGGAATCAGGGAGACTTCCCAAGCAACAGATGAGGTGTAAGCCCCGAGGAGGCCACTGGCACAGGGCAAGACGTGAGGTCGGTTTGGATGGATCAGGTGAGGTGCCAGGGGAGAAATCTGGGGGGCCAGTTGGATTAGAGGTCTGGAGCTCAAGAGAGTGGCTTGAGCTGGAAGTAACGTGTTGAAGTTGATTAGAATATGAATGGTGGTTATAAAAACTGTCCAATGAGAGTGTGTAGAAAGAGAGAAAAAGTAACTTGAGGACAGAGCCTTGAAGAATGAGGAGGAGCACATGAAGGGGCCTGAGAGGTGGGGGGAGACTATGACACAGAAGTGGGGGTTCCACAAGGAGGGCGTGGTCAGCAGTGCGGGCGCTGCAGACAGGACAGAGGAGGGGAGCACTGACAAGGGTCTGTAGGGTCAGCAACGTGGGGGTCACTAGGGACCTTGGCAAGGGTTCTTGTGGTGGATATGGAACAGAAACCAGACTGCAGGTGGGTTATGCAGTTTCTTGGAACCTCCCTCCCTCTCCACCTGCTTCAGTGCTGCCACCGAGCTAGCCAGCACCCGCCCTGAAGCTGTAGCCGTGCTCGTTTGCACCTCACGGAGGACCCAGGTCCATGAGAAGAAGGGGCAGCCTCCGAGAAGGGACGCAAAGGCAGTCAGCATGTGTGTGAGGGTATGAGCATGTGTGGTTGTGTGTGTGTGTGTGCACTGAGCCACAGTGTAGGAGATGGCAGGGCCTCGGAGCCCAGGGGACTCCGGACACCCGAGTTCTTTCCTGATCCTGCCACTGAGTCGCCGGCTGGCCTTGGGCGGGTCCCTCCATGGCTCAGAGCCTGTCTTCTCAGTTATGAAGTGTGTTGAGTCAGGCGTTCGTGGGCTTTGGAGCTGGGTTCGAATTCCAGCTCTGCTGTCCTCTAGCTGTGTGATCTTCCATAAGTATCTTAGCTTCCTCATTGGTAAACGTGACACTAACATCGAGCTGGCAGACTTGTGTGAAGGCCAAGGGCCCAACACCCACGTAGAGGACACGTAGCACACACATGTTGGCCTTCTGCATTATGACAAGTCCCCTCCCTGCCTCCCACCCTCTCCCCCGCCCCCATTACCCATCCTCCTGCTTCAGCTCCTGAGCTGGGAGGACAGCAGCTGGATCCCGTCCCGCCTTAATCCGGGGCAAAGTAATTCATTTATGACAAGACATTCCAGGCCCGTGAAGGCGGTTAAACCTTGGAACCAAGGAGGCAGGAGGGGGCCTCCTCGGAGAGCTTCAGGGAAAGTGGGCACCGCCCACACGCATTGATGCCTGCTCACATTTGTGTGTCTCTTCCTTTTATTGAGATAATTACTGAGCACTGACTGCATACCAGGCACTGTGACACTAAGCCCCTTACATGCAGCATCTTCCCCAATCCTCACAGCAGCCCTGCGAGAGAGGTCCTATTATTATTCCCATTTCACAGATGGGGAAACTGAGGATCCACAAGACTAAGTTACTAGGCCAAGGTCACATTTTAAGTTAAGATTAAATCCAGTCCAGTCTAATATCAGTCTCGACCCTTAATCTCTCCACGCTGTCTCTTAGCTTAGCTATGGCAGGATTTCTAACACCCTGGCTTGTTGACTCTCCCCCAGCTGAGGGAAGGCCCTCACTCTCAGGCTTCAGGTAGCTCAAGAGCCCTCTCTGGGCCTCAGTTTCCCCTTTTGTAGAGTGGGGGCAGAAACACTTGCCACACGGATGTGCTGTGAGGATTGAAGGGAAGTAACACTTGTAAGAGAACTTTGTGAGATTTGAGCTCATATAGGACACTGTGTTGTTGTTATTCTTAGTGCCTGGCCTGTGCCAAGAAGTGGGGGCTTTCTTAGCTCACAGGAAGCTCGGTGAGTCATCAGGGTGAAGCTTTTGCCAGAAAAGCTAGTGTGACCTTGGGCCTCGTTTATTGCAGCCAGCTTGAGGGAAGTGGATTGTTCTACTCAGTTCCACCTTGCAACCTTCTGGGGTGTTGTGCTCGGGGCTGGTCTTGGGGCCACTGGAGGGACTTGGATGGGCTGGGCCACATTCACTGACCAGGGAGGGGAGGAGCTGGGCCATCGGCGCCCTGGAAAACCAGCTGCAGCTATGAGCCATAGGGCAGGGGTGCAGACTCACATGCTACAGGGCCAGAGAACGGCGGGGACTGTGGCTAACCACAGAGTGCCCACCTGTGCATGTGGGGCACAGCTGCCACGGTAGACGTAGCTGCCACTACTCCAGCTGGCTGCTTCCATGCGGGGGGTAACGCAGGCCAGCATCGCCCAAGCCTCTAATTTTGCAAGAGAAGCTGAAACTACTGGTCATCAAAACCAAGTTTCCAAACAAAACGTGTGCTGGATGGATTAGGTCCACTAGGTTGCCAGGTGGAACCCTGACCTAAACCTCCTAAACTGGAGCTCATGTGGGGTTTATTCACTCGTTCATTAATTTTTGCAAATGGCCTTGAGCTCGTCCTTGGAAATGCGGACCCTCGGTCTTCAGACCCTCTGTGCCTGCTCCAATCCTGGCACCTCCTGACCCTCCCAAGCCGGTCAGCCTGTCCTGGCCTCACTCCACCCCCATGTCCCGTCTGATCCTCTTCTGCCTCATCCTACCCTTGGCCCTAAGCCGGCCCGCCTCTGGGCTCCCCTGCACCTGTCCTGGGGCTCTTGAGGGACCCAGGGGGCCCTGCTCAACCGCCTCCCCCCACCCTATCCAGCTACTGCACAGACCTCCCCAAAGCTGCTCTGCACCTCCGTCTGTCTTTTTTATCAGCAAATGGCTTGATCTCCAGCTTGACAGAGAAAACCATCAGGCGGGCTTCCTGTGTCTGGCTCCTCACCCCGCTGTCCCTCTCACACCAGACCTCCCCTACCCGAGCATTCACCTATCCCACCCTTGGCTAGGGCGGGCCCCTCCTTCATGGAGGACCCTCCACTCCTGCACCAGCCCCAGCCTCCAGTCTACTTAGGTCCTTTTCTCGTCCTTTCTCTCTCCTTCATTCGCGGCCTCTTCCTTTCTTAACCTTAACATACTGAGGTCTCTCTACTCAAAATAGCACAACACGAGACAAACATCTCTCCTTCTCCCACGAGCCCCTGCGTTTATCACGTGCTCTCCGTCTCTTCTCAGGCAGCTTCTCAAAGAGATATCTGTCTACACTGGTACCTTCAACTCTTCCTCGCTGCCTACTCACTTCTCAGGCTCTGGGACCTGGCCTCTGTCCCCACGCTGATGATACGGTGCTCACCACGTTACTAATGACTGCTGGACTGTCACATCCAGAGGCGTGCTTTCCAGGCCTCCACGCACTTGACCCGGAGGCTGCGCGGGACTGTGTGGACCACACCCTCCTTGAGAAACTCTGCTTCTCCCTGGTGTCTGGGGCACATTCTCTCTTTGTTCTTCTCCCATTTCGACACCTACTCCAGCTGGGGGTCTAACGCCCACCCATGAGGGCTGATGTGCGGTTCCAGGTTCTGCCCTCAGCTGCCCCCTCACCCTGTGCCCTCTCTCAGGAGCCCTCATCCTCGCTGATGGCTTCAGCTGTAGCCATCATGTCCACAATTCTCCAGGTTTTCTGTTTCAAATACTCTAGAACAGACCCATCCAAGGGACATACAATATGAGCCACATACGTAATTTAAAATTTTCTAGTAGCCATGTTAAAAAAGGTGAGAAGTGACAGGTGAAGTTAATTTTAATAATTATTATATTTAACCCAAACATCCAAAACATTACTAGTTCAACATGCAATTAACATAAAGTTATTAATAAGATATTCTACAGTCTCCTTTTCCTACTAAGTCTTTGAAAGGCGATGTGTACTTTACACTTAGAGCGGATCTCAGTTTGGACTAGCCGCATTTCAAGCACATAATAGCCACATGTGGCCAGTGGCCATCGTGTTGGACGACACAGATCTAGACTTTGATTTCCAGCAGCCTGGACATCTAGCGGTCCCTCAGAGACAACATGTCCAAAACACATGGACTTTTCAAGGAAGGTGCCATCTGAGCGTGGGCTTAAAGTCTATCCTCGGTGTTTCAGGGTCTAGGATCAGGCATTCCAGGCAGAGGGAACAGCATATGCAAAAACAGAGGCACGAGAAAGCAAGGTAGGCAGAGAGCAGTGTGGTTGTTTGGTTTGAGGCTGTCTGGCATAGATGACTGCCTAGATTCCAATCCTGGCTTACTGCATACAGGCTGTGTCTTTCGGACAAGCCACTCAACTTCTCTAACTCTCAGGGTGCCCATCTGTCAAATGGGGAGAATAATGGTACTTAACGTGTCAGCTGGTATCAGGGTTGAAGGAGGTGATAGATAAAACTTAGCACATAGTAAGTGCTCAATAAAGTTATATTATTTGGTAGTAATACTATTGCTGAACATAGAGAACACTGGAATAGATACGAAACTGAGAGGCAGAAGGGATGAAATTATCAAGGGTCTTAAATGGCAGCCTACTGAGTTTGGACTTTATCCTAGAAATGGAGGGAAGCCAGTGTGAATGTTTGAACAAGGGGCAGACATGATCAGATTTTTGTGTTAGGAAGGTCACAACTTCCTGCTGGCTGCAGGGAAGAGGCTGGGTAAGATCTAGGGAGAATGTAAGCTGATTGGGTGTGGGGCAAAGGGAGAGGAAGCTCTCATTTGTGAAATCCATGTTTCTGGCTTGACCAACTGGGATGGGGAACAGAGGTGGTGAGCTTTCAACACAGAGTCTGAGATGCCCATGGAAAACCGAGACTTCAGTGGATATTTGGAAGTAGGGATCTGGCTCCCAGGTGGAGGTTTTGGGAATTTTAGTGCATCAGGCACATCTGAAGCCACAGACCAGGTGAGAAGATCCAGGAAGAGTGACTGGGGTGAGATGGGAGAGGGCCCAGGGACTGAGCCCTGGGACCATCCATATTCATGAGGCAGATGACAACGAAGAATGCGGGGAGGAACTGTAGAGAGGCAGAGGCTAGGAAGGTAAGAGGAAAACCAGGAACGAGCAATGTCATGGAGGCCAAAGAGGAGGGACTTTCCAGAAGCACAGAGTGGCTAAGCGAGTCAAAGTCAGCAAAGTCCAGTCAGTCAGTCAGGAGGGTGGAGCCCTCGAGAGCTTCCATGACACGGGGAAGCAGAAGCCAGATTGAGGAGGGAGAGCACGGGAGGGGATGACAGGGCCAGCCAGCGGGTTCTTTCCTGAGGTGGCGTCCAGGAGTCCACAGCTGGACAGGGAGGCTGGGCTGAGGCAGGAAAGTTTACTCTCGGGAAGGAAGAGACCCGAGTCTGTGGGAACAAGTCAAGGGGAGGGTGGAAGATACAGGCGAGAGCAAGGCAGGGAGAGAGAGGCTGGGTGCAGGAGCCAGAGCTGAGGGGGAAGGCAGGTATAGACTCAGGTGGGCGTGGTGGTGGGTGTGGTGGGGCTGCGAGAGGTTGAGTGAGGGCCTAGCTTCAGGCTCTCATCTCCCTGTGAAGGGGGTTGGTGGGGGGTGCGTCATCTGAGGAGATCAGCAGTTGGGGATGAGCAAGGGCAAGAAGTTCAGGAATGATGCCCGAGGGCAAGAGAGAGAGATCCCACTGGTTTTCCAGGGCCGCTGTGTGGGGTGGGGGGGTCCCAGCAGAGTCCAGGCATGAAGTCTGGAGATCCCCTGGGGAAACTTCCTCCAGGCTAGGCTGCAGTGTGAGATGCTCCAAGGGGTTCAATCCACACCAGCCATGCCCTTCTCCAAGCCCTGCCCCTCCCCTGAGCTTCCGGAGGGCTTGGGGTCCATAAGGGCCCCGACTCTGCTGCCCCACCCCCGCTCCTTCTCACCCTCCACCCAGCTCTCACTGGCCAGGTCTTAGATGCCTTGACAGGGGCAAGGGGGAGAGGTCACGAGGAGGGAAGTCTCTGGAGGAAGAGGACATGGCAGAGGGTCTCCAGGGCAATGCGGGGAGGCTCCAGGTGTGGGGGTGAGGAGCCTTCTGCTGAGGTGGGGCTTCGGGGCCAGCAGACCCCTCAGAGGCCCGCCCTCCTTTCCTCGCAGATATTCGGCCTCGGCTCTGTGGCCCATATGGTTCTAGGAGATCAATTCGGGAGCTTCCTTGGTGTCAACCTGGGTTTTGGCTTCGGAGTCACCATGGGAGTGCACGTGGGAGGGAACATCTCTGGTGAGTGAGCCCCGGGGTCCCTGGCAGGCTCTTCCTGCCCACCTCGAACCGACCCCTTCTCCGCTCAGCCGGCACCTGGCCTTCATTGGCCGCCTGGAGGGAGAGCACCCTGACCCCTGTCCTCTGTCTGTCTCTGCTCAGACTCTTCATGAGCCCCCACGACCCACCACTTTACTAGCAGGGTCAGCTTAGGCAAGCTGTTTAACCTCTCCATCCCTTGCTTTCCTTGATGGTGAAATGGAGGGGCCGGCCCCGTGGCATAGCGGTTAAGCGTGCGCGCTCCGCTGCTGGCGGTCCGGGTTTGGATCCCAGGCGTGCACTGACACACTGCTTGTCAGGCCATGCTGTGGCGGTGTCCCATATAAAGTGGAGGAAGATGGGCACAGATGTTAGCTCAGGGCCAGTCTTCCTCAGCAAAAAGAGGAGGATTGGCAGATGTTAGCTCAGGGCTCATCTTTCTCACACACACACACACACACACACACAAAATAAATAAATATTAAAAAAAAAAAAAAAAGATGGTGAAATGGAGATGGGGTCCCTGCCTCATGGGGTCCCGTGAGGATTAAATGGAGGATCGTACTCCATAAATGCCGGCTGTCGTCATTATTGTTACTGTGGCTCTCAATATTATTTATTATGGTTTGTTTCTGCTCTCCCTTCCCTGACGCACTTGCTCCTCCCCGCAGGGGCCCACATGAATGCGGCCTTGACCTTCACCAACTGTGCACTAGGCCGCATGTCCTGGAAGAAGTTCCCTGTGTACGTGCTGGGTCAGTTCCTGGGGTCCTTCCTGGCTGCTGCCACCATCTACTGCCTCTTCTACAGTGAGTGTCCTCCCCGGGTCGTCCTCGGGCCTCAGCCTCCTGCTCTGAAATATGGGGGGATCTGACCTCGGCGTCCTGGCCTGTGAAAATGTCTGGAGGGAAAAGCCTTGGAGGGGCTCCCCAGGCCCCCCTCCTGCAACCCTGTTTCTGAGACTCCAGTGGGGTTTAGCTGGGGCAGGCTCACACTCACTCTGTCTCCGCAGCAGCCATTATCGACTACTCGGGTGGATACCTGACGGTGACCGGTCCCACAGCCACCGCTAGCATTTTTGCCACCTACCTTCCTGACCACATGACATTGTGGAGGGGCTTCCTGGATGAGGTCAGTGGTCCAGGGCGGGTGCCTGTCCTCAAGCCCGCCCCCTCAGGAAGGGGCCAGCAGGCAGCTCCTCACGAGAGAGAGCACAAGAACTCTGGAGGGGGACTGTACCACGACATGTCTCTGCCAGTAGGTTTGGGCTGGGGGCACTGCTGAGGCCCTGTGGCTTGGCTTGGGGCCCGGGGTGGCTGTCACAGCATCTGCTCTCCAGGTGTTAGTGACGGGCTTGCTCCAGCTATGTCTCTTCGCCATCACGGACAAGGGGAACAACCCAGCACTGCAGGGGACACAGGCCGTGGTGATCGGCATCCTCGTTGTCATCATTGGCGTGTCCCTGGGCATGAACACAGGCTATGCCATCAACCCGTCCCGGGACCTGCCTCCTCGCTTCTTCAGCTTCCTTGCCGGCTGGGGCACACAGGTCTTCAGGTACTGCCCTGCCCAGCCCTTTCCTGCAAGTCTTCTGTGGTCCACTGCATGAGGAGGGGTGGGGTGACGTGAGGAAGAGTGCAGCAGAGTCCTGCAGTGCCCCCAGGTGGCCGGAGGGGGCAGGAGTGGGTCCCGACTGGCTCTGATGCAGACCCTGGACTGGGTGTCAGTCCTGCCCCACACCAGCCCGTCCCTGAATCAGGCTGAGGCTGACCACTCCTGTGCTCAGATGGGGGTCACTCTCCACTCTCAGGCCCTACTCCCTGTCCTGGCATCGGCCCCCTCAGCAGGCTTCTCCCTTTCGCCTGCAGGGCCAGGGACTGGTGGTGGGTGCCAGTGGTGGCGCCGCCTCTGGGTGCCTACTTAGGTGGCATCATCTACTTAGTCTTCATTGGCTCCACCGCCCCACGGGAGCCCCAGATGTTGGAGAACTCCCCGGTGTATGAAGACCGCAGGATACCCGTGTTGCCCAAGACCACGTCTTACCCACCCATGACCTCTTCCCTCACCCCCATCTCTGTGTCCCCCAACAGCCGACCTTCAGTCCGGCCTGTCCCACCCTTAAGGGACTCCATCCACCTAGAGCAATTCTAAGTCAGATGATTTGTGACCCTATCCCCACCCCAATAAAGCAAGCCTTGTCCCACCGCAGCGCCCCCACTTCCTGGGGGCCTCCTGTGGTTGGGCTTCCCTCCTGGATTCTTCCAGGAGTTCCAGGATTATGCCCTGGCCAAAGCGGGGAGCATGGAGCTGAGAGGTCTCCACCTCCTTCCAGCCCTGGGAGCTGCGGTGCCCCCTGGGGGAGGATGGGGATGGGCGTGCCCGAAGCCCAGGAGGAACAAGAGGAGATTAAAAGATGCCGGACACAGAATGGTGGACTTACGGGCACAGGGTGGGGAGGGAGGTTCTGGGGCACGGACAGCAGCTCGCTGGTGGGGGCTGAGCTCTGGGGATGCCTTGAGCTGTCCTGGGATAGGACTCTGGATTGTCCCTCAGTTCTGGCCAGTCCTTGGACCAGACGAGGCAAGGCCAAACATGCAGACCAGAGTTTCTCAACCTTTTTTTCATTACTGCCCCCTCAGGAGCCTTGTAGACATTTTTTCTTGATCACATGCTATTTTAATGCCACAGATATACTGTATATATGTTTACGTACTGTACATATATCCACGCTTTATACAAAAAAGAGTAAGATTTTTTTCATCTCCCCCTTCCAAGAATCCATTTTCTTTCCCGTGGGGGCAAAATCACCCCCGACCCTTGAAAATGCCCAGAGTGAAAGCAGGGGAGGGGCTGGACTCCTCGTCCTTCCCCCTGGTGACAAGCTCTCCCACAGTAAGGAATTCCAGAGTTAGCAAGGCACATGCAGAGAGGGAAATCCTTCTCAAAGGCGCAGGGTCACGAAGTGGCCTCACAGGGTCCCGGGGGACAGGCGCAGAGCTTGGAGGGGGGCAGCCAGGATCCATGGACTCTGGGGCCAGGCAGGAATCATCCTGCTTTCTGGACTCAGAAGGCAGCATCACCCATGGCTCCTATCACTGTTTGTGCATGTAGCCTTTCAACAATTATTGAACACCTCCTGTGCAGGCCCTGCCTGGGCCCTAGAGATCCACACTGGATGAGGCTGGGTCTCTGCCTTCGAAGAACGCACTGCAATGGGGACAGGTCATCACGAGGAAGGAGCTAAGCGGTGGAGAGGGGCTGCGGGGCTCAGAACCAGCCTCGGGCAGAGGCCAGGGATGGCTTCCCAGAGGAGGAGACAGAGGAAAGGCGGGGGCAGTGGGGGGTCCCTTCTGGGGCTGGTTGCCACACTTTACCATCTGAGGGGATGGGGGCAGAGGAGGTGGGCTTTCTCTGGAGGTGGGGACATGGTGAGACGAAATTTAGGAAGCCCGCCTGAGCTGCAGGTGCAGGACGCTGGAAAAAGGGGAGATCGGAGCCTGCACGGGAGCGTGGGGAGAGCAGTAACCTGGGAGGAGCAGCGGGCACTAACGGTCAGTGCCACTGGCAGGAGAGGAGACAGGGATTCGCCCAACACCAGGAGGTCACATCCGCACGACGTGGGCTCGGACTGGAGGAAGGGGCGGTGAGGCCGTGGCATGAGTCGGGGCTGATTTCCAGTGTCTGGCTCGAGCCTGGATGCTGGAGATGCCCCACTGAGAGCGAAGCCAGGGGCGGAGCTGGTTTGGAGAGGAAGATGACAAGTTACATCGTGGACGTGTGGAGTCTGAGTCGCCTGTAGGACTCGGGGGGCAAGAGGTGTGTCGTCTTGGGTGTTATGCAACCTCTCTGGGCCTCGGTGCTCTCATTTGTAAAACAGGTCTAATCATATTACCTACCATGTCACCATGAATATTCAATGAAATAAAACGTGTACAATGGGGGGAAGAGCGGTTGGTACTGAGTGAGTGCTCAACAACGATTCGGCCTTTTATGTGGTCTGGAGCTCAGAAGAGAGATGAAGACAGAGCTCGGGGACGACATGGCTGTGTGGCTGCAGCTGGGGCCGTGGCGTAGGGGAGGGAGGGTCAGTGAGCAGGGTCCTGGGGTCACGGCCGCGAGGCGGCTGTGAGGCGTGGAGTGGGTGCCTCAGGAGGTTCGGCTGAGCAGGGGCGCCAGGTGGGTGGTCAGGGGGTACTGGAACCAACCCGAATGTCCATCAACAGGGGGACAGATACACACAGCAGAATGCGACACACCCCCGAGAACTGCAGCAACACGGGCAGAGTCCGGGGCATAAACAGCAGTGCAGTGGACAGTACACAGTGCGACCCCGTCACACCGCGGAAAACAAGCCAAAGTCCTGTATTCTTTGGGCACACGTATGTGACAAAACTACTTTGAAAAAAAGAAGGGATGTTCCTGCAGGGAGAGGGGTATGGGAGGTGGGGGGGAGGAGCATGGGGGCATAGCAAGCTGTTAGTTGTGTTCTCGTCCTGGAGTGGGGGGTAAATTTATGTGTTTGTCACATGACTGCGCTTGACAAGAGAGAACTGCGATATACACTCGTTTGTGGGTATCGCATATTTTAAAAGAAGAAATAGCTACAGCACGAGAACAGGTGGTGGGAAGAGAGGGAGGTGTGGGCTTGCTGAGATTACAGGGTCTGGGGAGGAGGGCAGAGGTTTGAGGATTTTGACAGCCACGCTGGGAGGAGCTGAGCCAGGTGAACCAGGCCTGGGAAGGACCAGGGAGGGCCGTCAGCTGCCAGTCCCAGCCAGCTGCCCCCTCTGTGGCCCTGTGAACACGAGGAGGGTGGCCTTTCCCATTCCTAGTGGTCCAGAGCGGCGTGACCGTGAGGCCTCCGCCAAAGGTGGGAGAGGCCCATATGGGCCCCGGGTTCTGGCTCCTCCCTCCTCTGCCCTCACTGACACTTCGGCCCTCTGGCATCCACATGTCGCTGGGAGGTGGCCTCGGAGGCAGAGCAGCCAGTGGGTCCCTCCAGAACTCCTGCCTGCTGTCCACTGCTCGCCACAGAGCTGCACGAGGCCCACTGCCCCTAACCTCCTGCAGATTCTGATCCCAACGTCAGGCCCGAGGAGCCCTGACCCCGGTCACAGAGCATTTCCGTGCACAGAGAGGACCCCTCTGTTCTGTCGGTAGACGTTGGTTGAAAGCCTACAACGTCCATTCACTATTCTAGCACCAAGGAGACAGGCATAAACCAAGTCTTTGTTCTCCTGGAGCTGACAAAACGTGGCATGTTAGGGACATACGCCAAGTAGGAAAAGCAGGAAAGGGGGATAGAAAGTGTGTGGGGGTGTGAAGACCAGAGGCCTCACTGAGGAAGTGACTTTGAGTGAAGACCTGAAGGGGGTGAGGGAGTGAGCCATGTGGACACCTGGGGGAAGAGCATGTCAGGCTGAGGGAACAGCCAGTGCAAAGGCCCTAGGGTGGGAGCAGGGAGGAGCCATTGCCGGAACGGAGGCGAGAGTAGAAGGAGACAAGGTCAGAGAAGTAAGGGGGTAGGGTGAACCAAGGCCAGGCCCAGGGGAGAGGTGAGGCCAAGGCCTGGGGCAGAGGTGAGGGAGGTCCCTGGAGGAGAGAGGCAGGTCCCACCACAGAAGGAAGGAAGGAAGGAAGGAGCAGGCAGGATGGGGTGGAGTGGGTACCGTGAACCACTCCCTGGCTGGACCCAGGAGACACATCTGTGCAGCTCTGGGAGCCAGGCTGGGACGTGAGCCATGGGAGCCCTGGCTCCTCTCCCATTCTCCCAGTCCCAGGCCCAGCAAGGACTGGCTGTGTGACCTGGACAGGACCCCTCCCCTCTCTGGGCCTCCGTTTCCCTATCTATACAATGAGGCTTGGCTCCGCTGGTGTCTGGGGAGGCCCCCAGCTCTGACCTCTCCCAGCACTTCAAAGCCTCGGGTCATGACCCCAGTGCCCCCACTTCCTGTCCCAGCTGAGGCTGAAGTTGAGATGGGGACGGGGATGGGGCAGGAACGACTCCCAGCCCCAGGCCAGGGCCCCCCAGGGCTCTGCAGTTCAGGTTGGGTCCTCAGCCTGGTGGTCCCGGCTTTGGGAAGAGCCCCTTACTCCCTGTGCTGCTCTCCCCACTCCCACTCAGGGCCTCGAGGGACAGTGCCCTGGCTGGTCTCACTGCCTCCTCCCTCAGATGGGGTCCTGCAGACCAGGAGGAGGTGGCAGCAGCCATCTAGGGCCAGGCTGGGGTGCTGACGTGCTCAATGGGAGGAGGCTGTGGCCGTCAGAGCCATGCAGCCCGACCTTGGCTCCCACGTGCCTCTGTGCTGACCCCGAAGTGGGAACGGTGACCCCAGCCCCGCGTGTTCTGCAGGGCCCCTACTGTGGAAGTGAGCACAGACAACGGGGCCAGCCCGCCTGGACCCAAATACCGGCTCTGCCACTCACTAGCTATGACCTTAGGTAAGACAGGACAAGAACAGTGGCCACCTCACCAGGCTGCTGGGTGACGACGTGAGCTATGCCTGGCACCGTGGGCGTGGGTTTGCTGTTATCACTCGACACCCTCTCACAGTCCTCACGAGATCAGGCCCAACTTACAGCCAAGGAAACTGAGGCCTGGGGAGACTGGCGCATAAGGGGGACAGAGTAGGGATTCCAGTCCTTATTGATATGACCTTGGCTAGCTTTTGTTTGGTTTTTAAATTGTGAAATATATTCTGTCAATGTGTATATATAACATATGGGTACAGTTAAACTAACAATAAAGCACTCAAAAAACAAAACAAAAAAGCCCCCAAATGAACAAAAAACTCACACTCAAGTGTCCCCCACTGAGCTTTCACATGTTCTTGAACCTCTCCAGGCCTCAGTTTCCTCATCTGTAAAAAGGAGATGAGGCTTGGAGGAGCGAGGGGCTTCCGGGTCCAGCGTGGCCATCAGCGTTGCACTGTGATAGACTGAGGCTGGGGCGGGTTTGCCAGAGCTCACGGTCTCCCTGTGTCTGTGCTCAGGAGCTGGGGGGATGGGGGTGGGGAGAGGTGTGCAGGGGCTTCTGAAGGGGATGCTCTGGGCCCAGCAGGGGGCCTGGGAGAGTGGCGGCTGGAGGCTCAGAGGCCAGGTCAGGGGCTGAGACAGAAGACATACAGCTCAGGGCCAGGTACGCCCAGGCACACAGACGAGGCCATAAACCCAGGGCTGAGCCTCTGAGTCCTCCAGGGACCCAGCCATACCCCGGTGGCTGATAAGGAGGATTCCTCAGATGGGAGTCACAGCAGGCCCCAGGAACAGCCCCGCCAGGCCAGCAAGAATGCGCTCCTGCTCTCCCCACCCCCACACCCCCCACCTCTGCTGGGTCCTCTGGCCCCATGGGTGGTGGAGACACCAAGAGATAGTCTGGAGGTCAGACACGCTGACTGGGGGTACTTGTGGGACATCCAGGGAAAGACGCAGGCCTGGGCTAGAGCTGGAGCTTTTAAGCCCAGGGTGGCATCTGAAGGCTTGTGGATTAGGTGGCCCAGGGAGAGAAGATGGAGCCCTGGCAAGCACCCATGTTTAAGGGATGCTAAAGGGGAGGGGGTGGCCAAGGCCCGTGAT